GGAAGGGCTGCGATCCCTAAGGGAACCCCCCGGCTGCCTTGTCGGTGCCCTCCCGCCGCCTGTCTCGGCGCTGCTCCCCATCCCCGGCCCGGCAGGGCGATGGTTTCTCCGGGAAGCGCTGGAGCCGGCGCCGCTTCCTCCCTTCCGCCTCCGCCGCGTACCGGGTCCCCGCAGCCGCCGCTGGGGTAAGGGGCCTTCCAAGACTAAAATTTAAAATACTTTACGTCTTCTAGTAATGACTCTTTTTCTGGTTTGTTAGTCTGTCTTTCCTTTATCCATATTTTCTGTTTCTCTTTTTCCCCTCTTGAAAATACTAAGGAAATACGTTCTGATGAGAGGAAATGAGAGCCCGTCAGAGGCGCGCTGTAACATTAAACCGTAGTACTTTTTTCTTTTTTGAATCCTAACTCTGATCTAACTGCGTTTACTGTATTTCCTTCTCTCCCTAGTGTCCAAAAATCAACATGTCTAGCAAGAAGGCAAAGACAAAGACCACCAAGAAGCGCCCTCAGCGCGCCACTTCCAATGTATTTGCGATGTTTGATCAGTCGCAGATCCAGGAATTCAAGGAGGCCTTCAACATGATCGACCAGAACAGGGACGGCTTCATTGACAAAGAGGACTTGCACGACATGCTCGCCTCCCTTGGTAATGTGCCTTTGCTGTTCGTGCTTGCCAGGCAAATTTGTGCTGCAAAATTCAAAATGCTGAGAGTTTGGGATATGGGAGGTGTGGTGTCTCACTGTCACACTCTGTTTGTTTTAACACCCAGTTTGTATTGACCTTACTATTTCAGTAATTTAGTTTTCAGCTAAACCAAGTATGAATCCCTTTGTTTGTAGGAAAGAATCCAACAGATGAATACCTGGATGCCATGATGAACGAGGCTCCGGGCCCCATCAACTTCACGATGTTTCTCACCATGTTTGGTGAGAAGTTAAATGGCACCGACCCGGAGGATGTAATCAGGAATGCTTTTGCTTGCTTTGATGAGGAAGCAACAGGTACGTGGGTGCAAGTCGGCTGCTTGGCAGGGGTATGGCTGGGTTTCTATGTGCGTTATTTGGGTTTCTAAACAGGATGCTGATTTTTGCGTCTTCATAAATTAAATTTGAGATGATAAATCCTAGATGGCATATTCTACTGAATTACTGAGCGACAGTAAAATCTGTCTGGCTGTTCTGTGTCAGTACTGAGGACTAGTAGGACTGTTCTTCTGTGAGGCTTTGAAGAAGAGTGCTTTAACTGGGCAGTGGGTATGTTCCTCAAAGTTCCTCAAAGGTGTATTTGCTCTAAGATGAGGAGCTCAAATCAGTAATGATTTTTTATGGCATTAAAAGCTAATGATGGGAAATCTATCATACAACTGAGTTTGTCCCCCCTCTGCAGTAGGTCTAATATCTGTTTAAATTCTTCAGGTGTTTAATATTTCAAGACACACTGTCCAGACTTCATAAAGTCTTACAGATCCTCATCTGGCTAAGCGTTCTTTATGGCTCTGAGGACAAATGTCATGCCCTCACCTGCAGCTCAGTTGCTTCCAGATTGCAGGAAGGGCTGCAATCTTAGTGGTCTAAAGATAAAAACCAGTTGCTGTGTAGAAGGCAGAAATGGCAGATTGGACTGACTTGAAAAGCTAGATGAAGGGAAAGAGTAAAACACAGAGTTCAGTTTTACTATATGAGACTTCGATCTTGAGGTTAGAGTTTATACTTTTATGTATTTATTCACCTAGGCTAACATTCTTGAGAAGTGTATTGTAATTGGGGACGAATGAGGCCATTCTATGGAATTACAGAGTATCAGTGCTTTGATATGCTGTGAACTTGTCTTACTAGCTCACATTGAAATTATGTAGCCTTCTATAGTAGAGGTGACACTGCACCTCTACAACATCCTCACAACTGTCCACCACAACATTTTAATCTAGCTAGTCGATAGATGCTCTGCACCTTTTGAAGGATATCCTTCCGTTCTGTTTCAACAGCTGTTTTCAGTCTGTGTATTTTTAGCACCTTTTGCCTTTTCAAAGAGCATCCCCTTCCTGCTGAGATGTAGGTAAACAGGCTTTCTGTTGATAAGGCCTTTTCAAATGTTAATCGACTTCCTCCCTCTCAAGGGAAATCTCTTTACCATCTCCTAGAGAAGGAAGTTTTATTAGTAGGTTAATTATTTTTTCTTCACAGGTCATCTGACTCACTGTGCTACAAGGGTTTTTTTTGTGTGCACCAAAACAAGAGCCTGTGAATTACAATATAAAGAAAATGTTTGTGTTACCAATTATTTAGAACGGAAACTTCTGTGTCTATGTAAACAATAAATTACTACTTTGGGCACCCATACACTGATAAGATTGATTTTAATATCTCCCAGCTCTGTGTGGTAAATGTTGTAGTCTAGCCCTACAATGATTTGAGGATACTAGTTTGTTCTACAATCTGTTTTGTGTCTTATGCCACCCTCAAATTTTAACCAGGAAACATGTGAGATAATTACGCTGTTTTATTAAGTTTTGATTCATAATAGTAAAAAGGAAATCTTCAAAATGGCATGTGACATATTTGTAGAACCCATGTTATGTTAATCCTTCATTAGTTTTATCCTCTTATTTGGCTTGTAATCAGTTTGCTCCTTTTAAAAATGTACAAGAACATTTCCAGCTATATCAAACTCTTTTTTTTTTTTTATTTTTTTATTTCATGGTCTCCACTCATGTGTTTGTCATGGGCTTGATTTTCTAGCTCTACATCAGTGTAGGTCTTCTGGAAGAGAGTAATACAAATCAGATCCTATAGTTGAGGATAAGGTAGTCCTACTTGTCAGGTTTTACTTACATTTCCTATATTGCCAACCTAGCTGGATATGTTGCTTCAGCATTACTATCAAGTGCAGCGCTGTGGAATTGGTATAAAAGTTGGATCTGTCTGCATTTGGAGTATTTTTAATCTGGTCTTTGATCTTGCATTGTCATCTGCTTTGTGCTGCCTGCAAAAGGCTGAACCTTAAGTTTTGCTTCATTTATTTGTTACTCCCCATCTGAAGGTGCATGGGAGGGAGAGGAGCCCTGTTTGCTTTACAGTTTGTTGCTGATAAAACTTGTGGCGGATTCCTGGTCTGGCAGCCCAGTTCAGTGTTTAAACAACTACCTATTCAGACAGGAGCAATTAAGTCCTTGAGGCAAAACTTGCAGCACCAAAGGCTTTGCATTCTTTGAATACTAATCGTTATGTCATCTCTCATCACTGCTCGCTCTCTATAGGACATCAGAAAGAGAGTCTAATCTTTTTGGCTGCCTTTTCCCTCTTCTTTACACCCATCTTCCAAGAGAGAACTCCAAGGTCAGACCCGATTAGGATGGGCCTGGCTTACTGAACATTCTCCCCATTTCTGAAGATTGCTGCTAGCCTTCTTCATTTGCATTCAGTAGCCAGTGGCCGGTCTACACTGAGATATGGTGCTGTTTCCATTAGCATATGTTGAAACACATTTTTTTCTTCCCTTCCCCCAGCATACACCACCCCCATGCTAATTTGTCATGCTCATTGACTGCTTTTTGGTTCCCCAATTCCCTGTTTGTCTCTCGAATGAACTCTGTTAGCTTAACTTACACAGCTCTCTTTCCAAAGTGGTGCTTTTTTTTATCACATTCTGATTGAATCTACATCAGTTGATGTGGGTGTCTACATATGATTTCCAGCTGTTCCACAAAGTTTACTTTCTTACTCTTTTTTTGGAACCTGCTTCTGTCTCATCTGTTCTGTTACTAACATTTCTGGTCTGTTACTAACATTTCTCCAACTAAAGTTCAATAACCAATTTCTTTCTCAAATGAAACAACTGTTGTGCTGCTAAAGGTATGGCTGGTCGTATTTCAGCCTGTATCAGTTTCTGCATTCTACTGTCTACCTTTTGTTATGAATGTTTCCTTTTTAATCTCTAAATTTTCCTGGAATTATTTGGCAACTGGTGGTTCTGCCCATTACTTGAAATACAATTAGCGGAAGATACCTAGAAACTGATCCTTTTTATATCTTTGTTAACTTCCTCAAAAATCTTCTGCTCTTTCAGCATAAAATAAATAATACGTCCTACTCTTTTTTTTTTTTTTTTTTTTTTTTTTTTTTTTTTTTTTACCTTTTAAATGTTATCCACCTTTACCTCTCCACCATAAACATTCTTCCTGCCTCCTGAGTTAGCTTGCTCAGTCCTGTCTGAAAGTCTCTTCTGTTATAAACTCCATCCCTGGACACTTGCCAGGAATTCACTGTATCCACATAAACTGCCTTCAGCAACAGTGTTGTACAGCACTAAACAGTGGTTATTTAGTCCCCAGGGGAAACTAGTTTATAGAGGATGTGCAAATATATCTAATTAAAGCAAGAAAAATATAGTTAATTTAAGAGAACTGCTTGTATAATGAAGACTAGCAGTGACAGGAACTTGTTTTTCCACGTTGAGCCGTTGAAGATCAGTAGATGTAAGTGTTATTATACCACAGCAGGTCAGGCCCTGTCTTCAAAAATCTGTATGAAATGCATTTAACTTCCTTTCCCTTTGCACTCAAGGAATTTCTTTAGAATTCAGTTAAGGAAATTTTTCGGGCTCTGTGCAAATGCATTAGTAACATATCACTGCTGCCCTGGTTAATTGCCTGTGTGTTGGCATGTCTGTGCTGCTGCTTTTGGAGACCCAGCTAAGAGGCTCGGCCTCCCTTTTGCCTTTCTCTCTGCATGTCTCATTCCAGGGTTCATCCAAGAAGACTACCTGCGGGAGCTGCTGACCACCATGGGAGACAGGTTCACGGATGAGGAGGTGGATGAGCTTTACAGAGAGGCCGGATGAGCTTTACAGAGAGGCCCCCATCGACAAGAAGGGCAATTTCAACTACATCGAATTCACGCGCATCCTGAAACATGGAGCAAAAGACAAGGATGACTGAGCAAATCCCTGGATACCTGCAGATAGCACCTTTAGTTTTTTGGGTTTTTTTCTTCCCACTAATTTTATTTCTCAGGATCTATTTTTATTTTTTTTTCCTTTTTTTCTTGTTGGGACCTTTTGCATACATTTTTAGTGCTGCACCTTCTTCCTCTGTGGATCTTCCTCTGTGCCTCTCAGACACACCTGCACCTTTGTAATAAGACTGGGAAGTGGCAAGGAGAGAGAGGACAGCTTGTAGTGATAGAGGTTGAGGGGCAAAGATCAGAGTGTGGAGGCCTGGGTAAAAATGTCAGTGCTACTCATCCTAGCTAGGTTAATTTTACATTTTTAATGATAATTTTTCAAATAAATCACTGTCTACTAAGTGCATAATTAAAATATTCATGCTGGAAGTATAATGTTTCTCTAATGATATCTGTAAATATTTTTGCAACTGTATGCAGTCATGTTGTTACCTATTTTTGCCTTAAAAATGATGCATAAGTCACTTAAGCATACTGATGTTTGTACTTCAGCAGCTATTTTACCTGCTACTGTGAGCATACACATGAAGAAGAAATTCCTATCCTTCAAATTTTAGTGTATTGTAAATGAATAATTTCTGTCCAAGACTTGCACATTAAACATTTTAAATCTTCTGGTTGTAGTTGAGCACGTATTTTACCACCTCAGTGCCTGCATTTCTTGCCACTGAGTACTATATTAATAACACTCTAAAAAAACTTACAATGTAAATACCAGTGTTTTTTTTAAAACAAGGTATTATATATAGGTAGAGTTGCTTGAGTGATGCTTCTTACCAGATCTGTGAGGCTGCCAATATTAAATTTTTATCTTCCTGGTTTTTTTCAAAGCACAGTAAGAACAGGGCTGGATGAAGAAGGGAAGGTGTGCTGTCTCTGTCCTTTTTGTTTTCTGTCTGAAAATGTTACTCTTGTTTTTTAAATGAAACAATATACACTATTTTTTTAAGACCTCCTGCTGTGAGTGGTGTTTTGGATGTGTGAGACTTGAGGCATTCCTTTTTGTTCCATTTCTCATAGTTGTATCCTCTATAGATCTTGTGGTATGGAAGGCATGGCAGATTTGCCACACTGTTCTGAAGCAATTTTGCCATAATCGGAATGCTTGTGGTCCTGCAGTTCTTATGTCTTGAGAGAAAGGATGATCAGAGCTGCTTCTGACACTTCCAGGAATTACATTGTTAATGCCTTCAGAATTTACATTACAAAATTAAGAAAAGTCATTTGGCTGAGAGCATTTTGCTGTTTCTTGGTAGGCTGCTGTTGCAGACTGAGCTTTTAAGAAATGTCACCAGGGGATGGCAATGTTCAGGAGCTCTAAAGCTCTTTCTCCACCTCAGTCCCAGGGAGCTTTGCTGAGGTGTGGGAGCTGTTAATTGTTTAATTGTGATTGTTAATCACACAGGGATGACCTGACCCCTCTGACTGTGGGTCTGTACGAGGTGCATGGAAAAGCAGAGGAGGGGGAAAGGTGCTTGAACGGAATCAGCAGAAACCCAAACTCTTCACAAATGTTTTCCCTCCATCACTCGCTGTCTTTTTTTGTTTCCTTTGGTTTTGTTTTTGTGTTGTGTTGTCGGGGTTTTTTTTTCCAGAGAAATACTTACGTTTGGAGGGGGCGGAGGTTAAAAACTCGAAGGAGAAGAACTTTTGTAAACCAGCAGTGACATTGGTACCAATTCCGAGGTTTCTGCAGTGCTGCAGGCGGCGGCTGGGGCCATCCCCGGAGCCAGCAGCAGGTGGCAGCACAGCTCCCGGCACGAACGGCTCCCGAGCCAAGCGCTCCCTGCTTCTCGTTGGGGTTTTTTGGGTTTGTTTCTTGTTTCGGGAGGGTTTTGGTGAAAAGCTCGTTTGGTGCATCGTGCATAGGGGAAAAATATGCTCCGTGCCTACAGAAGTCCTCTTCCTGCCGCAGCAAAGGCTAATGGGGCCGGGATTTTTCACATTGCAGCTCTTGCACATTGAATTTTTGGCCCTTTAATCAAATTCATTCATTACAGAAGAGAGTAAAACGAGACCTCTGCACGCCGTTGTTACAGACCTACATGCACAAACACACATGTGGTGTGTGTTTGGCAAAGATTGGGTTTCAAAAGGACTTATGGCCTTTCCTTGTAACTCAAACCAGAGACACTGTTCCTGCATTTCACTTCTCAGTATCTCAGCGCTCTTCTTCTTTTGTTAAGATTAGCTTCAGAAAAAAACTACCCCAAATTCAAATGTATATGTTTGCATAACTTTGTTTACATACGAAAGACTAAAACCTGTGATATAAACTAAACTGCTGGGGCTCAGAGTGAGGCAGCTGGTATTTACCTACAGCAATAAATGCTTGCTTACAGGCCAGGGCTGTGTTGCTGTATAGCAACACCTATATGCCATTTGGCCTTGTGATGACGAATTGTAGTTCACTAATACTATTGTTCTCAGCCTTGCCTTCGGCAGAATCCTGGTTTTACTCTCTCGGCTTTATTGGCATTTAATGTTCTCATAAAAACATGTCAGAGAGAATGATAAAAATGGATTTCTGGTGTGTAACTCAGAGGCCTGGGATTTCTCTTGCAAAGAAATTTTAAACCCCTGCTCAGCTCTGATGCAGAGGGTGCCTTAAAGTCTGTGTGTGTCTGGAGCAAGCAACACTGGTTTTACAGACTAATTGCAGTTCTTAGTCCTGGCAAAATCATTCCCAGTAAAAGCCACAGAATTTTCAAGTGTTCTCACTGAAGTGGGTCAGCAGAAGATGAAGGCGTTTGTCATGGGATGTCTTTCTCCTTTTATTTTTGTTATTAATTCAGCTGTTTTGTAGATAGGTCGCTTGAGTGGAGGGCGGGAACAATGTGGCCTTGAATCCGCTCAGCTAGAAGAGAGAATTAAAAGTAGGTCTGCAACATTCAGGCTGAATGTTAAACCACTGAACAATTGAATAAGGGAGGGTGGAACCATCACAAGCAGCTGTGTTTCTTATTGTGCATTCTTTTTTCTTTTTTTTTTTTTTTTTTTGGCAAATGAAGGAGCTTAGGCAGTGATCCCAGGAGAAGGAATTAAAGAGATCCATTCTACCTTGAGAGGACTCTTTCCTGCTCTTCAAGGTGAAGTTCCCAAAAGCCATGACTCACAAGTGGGGCTGGGATGCTTGTTTCCTGTGGTTGCAGAGGCAACAGAGCTGAACCCTAAATGAGTTTCAGCTTATAAACGGTTTCCTCTCCAGGACTGTTTGTGAGAAGTAGTGCCTTGCCAGGGAACTGTCTCACACATCCTCTATCTGACTTAACACCCCCCTCCCAACCTCCTGCCAGTGTAGGTAATAATTTGTAAAGGTTCTCACTGTCTTTACTCTGTTTGAATGCCGTGCTTTGTAAGCTGCTGTGGCTCAGCACCTGATTATCCTTGAGCAACTCAGCTCTGTCCATACTGGGACAGGCAATTTGTCAGCTGTGCTGTCCCTACATGTGAATTACAGCCCCAACTCCTGTAGAAAGGGCAGTGGTGACTCCTTACCTCCTCTTCAGTATTCCATGTGGGTGAGATTCAGCAGATCCTTACTTGATACCCTTGTTTTAATAGTTACTAATTTTAGCATCTAACATCCCTGTCTGGGGAGACAGCAGCATCTGTCAGTGTGGCAGGCTCGCCTCACTGTGGGTAGCACCAATGATGCCAAGCATTCTTCATTTCAAATTCATTTCATTTCAAATACCAAGTAGCCGGTATTAAATACAGCACCGTCCAAATGTCAGATAGAACGGTGCTTGTTCTAAAAACCACCAAGGTCTGGAAAGAATTCCTGTCACCAGGGTGGTGGTGCCTAAATCCTAAGCACTCGGTCTGACCTTTGTGGATGGTTTCCTAGCGGCAGGCAGGGCTCGTTCTGCTATTCAAATAACCCCAGCTGACTGCTGACTCATCTCTGGTTCCACTAGGCACATCCCGGTACTTAAATATAAAAATTGTTTCAGTGGCACTCTTTAGCTGTGAAAGGCAAACCTAACCGGAGTTCCTATATAATCATAGTGAGATCAGAGGTGTCATGTAAACGGCGTAATTAAAAACATAAAAAAGCGTTCAGATGGCTTTAATAAGGATGCATACCAGTCCCAGCAGGCTTCTTTCACCGAGTAGGTAAGGCTTGCAAATTCAAGATACTTGCAGCTGGAAACTTCCTTTTCAAATAACTGCAGGTCACTGTGACATTGGAAATGGTTGCAAAAAGCTACAATCATGGCACGCTGCCCCCTCCCACACACATGCACAAGATTTCCTGGGAAATTTGCTCAGCTCCATGCCCCACAACCCTAGCAAGCTTCAAAGCTACAGGGCTGGAGTTAGTTGAAAGGAGAGCTGACAAGACTCATGTTAGTAAGATAAGCTCATGAACTCTGTGATTCATTTTTGGAAGAGAACTAAATGGAACAAAATTACTTGCAGTTAGTACTTGCCTGTTTATTTCTTTCGCTAATTCAGGGGATAAGGTATTGTATCTTTATTGGAACCTGAGATATATGTTGTGCAAAACACAAGTTACAACATTATTACTGTTATCCTGCTAGCAAAGAAGGGATCTTGGTCATGAATCTAAATTCTCCCACTTTGTCTGCCCTCTTTATCTGCTAATTAAAAAAATAATAATAAAAAGGTGGCAATGCAATTTTTGATTGTCAGAAGACAGCATTTCTTTCAGACTTTGAACTTTTTGTAACCTAATTGAGCACAACCTTATAACTTAACCAATAATAACTAGTTTTTCTGCTATAGAAAAAGTCTAGATGTTGTTACTGATTTTTTTTGGCATATCCATCTATTCCATGGCCATGTTGCCCAGGTGGGGCACAGAACCATGGCCATGTTGCCCAGGTGGGGCACAGAACAGCAGCACTGTTACAAATGCATTTGGGGGTGCTGTACTACATGCAGATCTAAGAGAAAGAAGGAGTCATCAAACTTGGATAAAATGGTGAGTAAGGAATACACTTCAAAAATGCAGAACTCTGATTCATTTAATGGAAGATGACATGGGGCTATCTGAATCCCAAAGAGGAGGGTGAACTCTTCCCATGAAGTGCTAGTTACAACTATGTGATAAGCAGAAAAGATACCTTATAACAGCTGCAGCTGAATTTGGAAGCAAATTGCAATGTGGATGGGACAGTAATCAGAAGACAGTGATGATACTTGTTAAAAATATTTAGTTCTACTCTGTTCCTGTTACAAAGAATGCAACCTGCTCTCCCTGAAATTTTCTGTCCCAAGCTCTGGACACAGATTTTGGTATCTGAGTAGCTATCTAAACTAATGAAGATTAAAATACCAGAAAATAAGATAGGGGGCAAGGCAGTCAAGCATTTCCTGATGCAGCTGATCAGAGGTATGACTCTGTTGAGCTTCCAGTAGTCAGACTTCTCCAGAGGCTGGACACCAATGCCCAGTCAACAATTTATGTAGCCCCATGCTTTGGCAGCTGACAGCAGCATTTCCAGAGCTCTGTTTTCTATTTGATGTTTGCCTCCTCTCCTCCTCTCCCCTCCCCTCCTTTGTGCAAGCACTTAAATGCCTTCCACATGTCAGGGGCCTGCATCTACCCTCTCTGTTACAAGCCTTACAAGGCTTAAGACCTTCAAGCAAGAAAGGCATTCCCTTCCCTACTTTGTGTACCACACCTTGGGCCTCACTTTGAGATAAGATTCAAAGCAGCTAATAAGTTGCAAGGCAGGCTTTGCAAATTTTGATGAGCAGAACTTCGCCTCCAGGATTAAAGAGTATTTCAGTGTCAGTTTTTAAAACACTGGCAAATATCTAAATAGGACAGCAGTACCTCAGACATTTCAGGCTCTGGGGTGAAAGCACAGATCAGACCCTTGTGCACATCTCTGGATGCACAACACATGACAGAACTGTCCTCTGAGGGCAGTGGGTAAGTGGAGGAGAGGAGACTTTTGGCTGATGCTCTTACTAATGATGCCTGGAAGATCTTATCCTATGCCAGGTTTTCAGGGCTGGTAATTATGCCTCTTCCACTGCTGATCTCAAAAACTGCCATGAAAGAGCAAGTATCAAACAAAAGGGTGCTATTTTCCCAACTCTAAATGTTCTTTACACCTCTGTGATTGACTGGATTATTCCTACCTAGGACAGATTTCGTCTTTACACACACCCTTTGCAGGAATGTTTTTGTTACCTACCGTGGTTTGTAAAGTGGCTATAAAAGCAAGGAAAGCATTTGGGAGATGCTGTTATTATGAACAAGTTAGGGTGTGTTTATTTTAGTTATTTCTTCTCCTTCCAATTCCTCCATGCCTCCCTTAAGCCTATTAACAGACAATGCTTCTACAGGCTAAGTATACTGAATTCGGTGAGGCTCACCTAAAAAGGCCACTTCAGCAACATTATTCAAGTTTCCAATATTTATGTTTACATACCAATACATATTTCTGGCTCATTTCTTGACTCTGCTGTTCTTTGCTTTGGGACCTGGGGTGGAGAGGTGTTTGTTGGGGTTTTTTTAAGGTACAATCTGCCTGACTTTTGTCTTCTAATCACAGTTACATTAACGACTTGCCTATACAGCTTGCCCCATTTTACCTCTGATGCAGTTAAAATTTTCATTTTGTGAACTTCCTTGCATTTCTCTGCTATATGCTGCTGATGTCAGACACCTGTGACATCTGGGCATGTTCTTACATTGTTCCCAAAAGCTATAGAGAAAAGCACTGAATGAAATCTGTTTAGAACAGAGATTGGTTGGGGGGTTGGAGGTGAGAAGTTTCACCCCTGGAAATAAAAGCAATGTGTCATGAAGGCATTTGTAATATGGGTTCCTTTTAATGAATCTTAGCCACTTACTTGACTGAAAACATTAAATTGGTGTTTCCCTAAAGTAAGTAATTAACTTTCAACACAGAAAATTAAATTGCTTAAGATTATTACACGGCCATCTGAACAATACTTCTAGTGTCTTGTTGCTTTTATTGCTTTGTTGCCCCTGGCATTTTGTGTGTAATCATCCAGACACCATGAGACATATTGATTAAATAAATTGGGGCACTTTGCACAGTACAGTCTTGTTTTATATAACCTTATGCAATAAGTTTTTACTCTAGCCAAGTACAAAGTAAGAGCAGAGTTGAGAGAGAAACTTTGGGCAATGCCAGTCTATCCTGTCATCTGTAGTCAGAAGTAGTTTGGACTCCTGAAACAAGCTAAATTTTTACTGGGAGAAAGCCAGACTCCTGAGTTGACTTTAGTAGATATTTTTATATTAGGCTGAGCATTTTTCCCCTTAATACACTGAAAAAAACTGTTTGAAGAGCAACTTCTGTGTCAGTGCTCCCAGAGTTCCAGAGAGGTGAGCAGTTCTCCGTGTTTGGACAGTGTGAAGCACAATGGGGATTGGTGTGTGAGTGGGAAAATTAAGTGTCTAATGGCATTTCCATGATAAACGTAATAAGCACCTTTTTAGTAGATGTGACAAAAGTTATGTTTAAAGAGCACTGGGCCCTCTCTAACGCATTGGAACATCAGTTTCACCTCTGGTTTGGCTAGGCTGATTTAGCAGCGTTCTGCTAGAAAGCTTCTAGATAACGTGGCAACCAAAACATTTCAAGGCTGCCTTATCCTCTCTTATCCTACAGCCTAATGACAAAAGGAGACAATTGTACCCTGTTTGCTAACTACATGTTGTGCTTTAATCTTCCATTTTGACTTATGTTGTCATGAAGTTGCTAATCATCATTCTGTGACACTCTCTGCACAGCCCCTCCACACAACTCTGGGCTGCACTACATGGGCACAGTACCACAAAAGAGCAAACACAAGGACTGGCACCTGTCCATAACTGCTGTTTAGAGGGAAGTTGTCCCTTTT